GGGTCACGAAAGCAATTTCTTCGCGTTCGAAAAATGGCTTCATTAGATTTGCGTGATAAATTTTGACTTCCTTTCGCTTCCCCTTCATTTTGACAGCATAATTTGTATCGGATACTTTCTGGGCAACCTCTGCCGGACCTTCCCAGTGCACTTCGAGCTTATTTTGTCTTGAACTCCTTAGAAGCATTAACTTGTCGTTCACCTTGAACGGCCTTTTACGGGCCGTTTTATCATAGCATGTTTTCGCCCTGAGCTGCGCTGCCGACATGTTGTCCTCGGCAATTTTTCTAGCAACATGCAAGCGTTCAAGTAATTCGAGGACGTACTCTACAACTGTCGTGTCCTCTCCACTTCCTTCCCAACACTCGCGTAACATACGCATCGGAGAACGCAGCGCTCTACCGTACACCAACTCTGCGGGACTGAAACCCGTAGATTCGTGCTGTGCCGAACGCAAGGCGAACATCGCTGCGGGCAAACAGCGCTCCCAATCCCGCTTGTGCTCATGAGTCAGTGCTCGGAGGACCCGTTTCAGTGTTGCATGCCACCGTTCCACACTGTTTGATTGCGGGTGGTGGACGGAACTATGAATGATCTTAATACCGCACCGCTCAAGGAAGGTCGTCGTCAAAGCACTCGTAAAAACGCTACCCTGATCGCTCTGGAGCTCCGCAGGGAAACCTACTCTGGCAAATACGGTCAGGAAAGCGTCGACCACTTCCGTTGAGCTCAAGCTTTTCAGAGGCACCGCCTCCGGAAACTTAGTGGCAGGACAAATCATTGTAAGAAGGTACTTGTACCCTGACTCAGTGACAGGCAAGGGCCCTACCGTGTCCACTACCAGGCGCTTGAAAGGCTCAGAGATCAACGGGACCAGTTTTAAAGGGGCCTTCCACTTGTCGTTCGCCTTCCCGACGACCTGGCACACGCTACATGTCTTCACGTGTTTCTTAACATCTCGAAAACACCCTGGCCAATAATACTCTTGAAGTAATCGCTCTTTGATTTTCTTTGTACCGAGATGCCCTGACCAAGGGTTTTCATGCGCCACGTGCAGGAGGTCGGAGCGGTACTTGGAAGGCACTACGAGTTGATCATAAACCCTTCCTCGCCTGTCCTCGTATTTCCGATGAAGGAGACCCCCTTTCTCGTAAAACGTTATGTTTTTCCGGGCTACCCCTTCCCTCTCTGTATTGGAGAGTATCTTGAGGCTGGGGTCACTCTTCTGTTCGGATTGCAAACTCGCCGTCCCTACTCTCAGTAGACTTCGCAACCTAGAAGTGACTGGAGGAACAACGCGCCCCTCAGCCATTTCCAAAACGTCACAATTTAAGGACTCATCTGAGCCTGGAGAGTCCTCTCCTTCGTCGTCGGGTTCGGACCGCGTCTCGCTTGCATGCCCGGCGTCCCCATTCAACACCACGTTCTCGGAGGTTTCGGGTTGCTCATTGTATCTAAGCTGGCTAGCAAGCTCCCGCGCTTTCGACCGAGTTAGTGCCATCACTACCCCGTCGGTCAAACGCTATCCCATTTTACGCAGTTTTTGGTCCGATTTATTAGAAAAGAGGTAGGGATACTGGGGTGGTAGGTTAGCTGAAACCGCAGCCTCCGTCTCCAGTGCGCCGAAAGGACCTTGAATAGTCACCCTGGCTACCGGCAGACAGACGCCCTGCTGTTCCACCACCTGCCGTATCCACGCACACTCACCAGTGTAGTGGTCCGCTTGCACGAGCGATTGGTGCACGACGTCCAACGTGGCGGCGCAGTCCCTGAGCACCTTGCAGGGCTCGCCGTTCACGAGGAGGTCGTGGAGATAAGGCTCGAGCAGCCTGTCGTTCTCGTCATCTTTACTAAGGTACGAAAATACCACCCGAGGCTTTCGGCAACCAGCCGCCATATGACCCGTCTCGTTGCAGCGGAAACAACGCATGGGCTTTCTCGCCTTAAATCGCTTTTTGCCCGATGCAATAACTTAGCGGTTGGCGCCAGTCAGGCTGGGAAAATTGCAGAGAACAACTCTACAAGAAATTTAGGTTTGACCGTTAGGGCGCCAGGATGACAGCTCGCCGACCATTGGAGAACAGTGTACCACGTGTGAGTGGCGGAATTTGAAGAGATTGGTCGGTTCCTGAGGGGAAAGGAGGCCCCTACGGGCCTACAAAAAGAGCGCGGAGAGGATTTTGAGGGATTCGGACTTTGGATTTGATGGAGAGAAATTGGGGACGGGGGTCGAGACTTTAGACGAGGCAGGATGGTTTCCCAAGTTGGGACTTGTAACTAGAGTGTAAATAAATGCACATAGTTCTCTACAAGCAGTGAGTCGACCCGTCACTCAGCGACGTTCGTGCCACCACGCTCCAGAACATCGAAGCGGAACCTGCCTCCCACACCACCGGGAGGACTTTAACTGGCGCAGTCGACAGGATGGTGGCGCGATTTCCGGTGAGACGACGTGGCGGCGACCTGCGGGCAAGTACGTGAGCTTCAGCTCAACGGTGGACGAGGCGCATCCCTGTGAGAACCCTCGTGGGCTCCGGCCCGAAGTGACCGAGACGGCATCTACGTGAGAGGTCTTGGGGGTTTTGACCCGACGTCAACGGTGGACGAGGCAACATCCACATGAGAAGCCTCGTGGGCTCCGGCCCGAAGTGACCAGGACGACATCCACGTGAGAGGTCCTGGTGGGTTTCGACCCGAACAGAAGAAGGCGACATCCCCGTGAGAGGCCTCGTGGGTTTCGACCCGATGTGAACAAGGCGACATCCTCGTGAGAGGCCTTGTGGGTTACGACCCGAAGAGAACGAGTGAACGGAGCAACAACCACGCGAGAAGCTTCGTGGGTTACGGCCCAAAATACAGCGACGACGCAGCATCGTCTACGTGAGAGGTTGCGTGGTGTTGCGACCCGAAGAGCGGATCAGCGGGGCCCGAACCCAAGACCGACTCCGGTGGGTGACGTCCAGCGACACCGGAGAGTTATCGACTCAGGAGCGGCGCACTGACACAGGTGGGACTCATTTCTGTTTCCTCCGAGTTTCGCATGTCAGTGGTGTTGCGGTCGGCGACTAAAGGAGCTCGAGTTATAATGAGCGAGAACGGGGATTAGAGCTCGGCGATGTTGGACGACGTATTAAAAGGGGGAGGGAGTGAAAGAGAGAACGCTCTCCAGCTAAAAATTGCATCTTTAAGACTCAAACTCAAGATAGCCAAATTTTACGCTAATCAGGACGAGGAGAATTGGCGCCGCGGTGGGAAAGATGAGGGCCAGGTTGGAGCGACCGGAAAATTCGAGGTGGTCGTCAAGACGGGCGAACAATACCTAGTGGAGTGGGAAAGTATCCTGCTGCCGTGGACGACATGCCCGGAACAGGTGAACATCGAGGCCCGCTGCGAAAGCGTGAGCGATGGTGACAGCGGCGAAGGGAGTGAGGGCGATAACGCGTTTCAGCTAAAAATTGCAGCTCTAAAAGCCAGGCTCGAGATCGCCCAATTTAATCTGAAGCAGGCAGAAGAGAAGTTGCGCCGCGGTAGGAAAGACGAGGGCCGGGTCGGGGCGGGCGGCGCATCCGATACGGTTGTCAAAACGGACAACTTACACTCCAAACCCACCGAGAAGATAGACGCGGACAGCGATGACTGCGGCGACATCGAGGTCGAGCCGGCGGTCCGGACGGGCAAAGGGCACCAGAAGCCCGCCGGGAAAACGGACGACGACGACGGGTTACCCGAAATCTTGAAAGAGCGGCAGAAGCTTGAAAATCCGGAAGAAGACCGCGAGGAGAACGCATACGGCGATGACTGCGGCGGCTGCGAGGTGAAGCCCGTTAATAGGAGAGCTGACGCGGACGAGGCAGATGCACCCGCCGGTGATCCGGTGACGCAAGGAGGCGAGAGCGAGAGCGGGAGCGATGGTGACGGCGGCGACGAGGGGACGAACCCGGTTGGCGACATCGAGCGCCGGGATCCAGGGAACCCCGGCGCACCGGTCACCGCAGCACTGGGCAGGCAAGGGCCGTCCCAGGCTGGGAGGAAACGGCTGCGCAAGAAGCGCATCGCCAGGTCGGAGTCGGCGGTCAACAAGAACTCCGGGTCCAACCCTGCATCGGCTCCGGGCTACGACAAGGACGGTCATGCAGAGGATGTGAACGACGGCGAGAGGACGGCGAAGAGAGCCTTGATTCCTCCGATCCAGGCGTCGAGACGGAAGCTCCGACTGCGGAGAGGCGCCGACTTCGGGACCAGGGCCGTGTCGTCGCCGAAGGTCAGGCCGGTGGTGCATCGCAGGGCGACGCCCAGGGACAAGGTTGCGTCGCGCTACTCCAGAAGGGGGAGTCTGGACGCAAAGTGCTGCGGGGGCGGCAAACGCCAAATGAACACGGAGGAGACGAGGAAGCCACACCGGTCGGTGCCCAGAGCTCGCACGCGTGAACAGCAGACTTCAGGTTTGGGCTCGGGATCGGCGGGTGTTGCGGAAGCGACTGACTGCGAGCCGCCCCAGGTAGTCCTCAGAACGTCTTTAACGGCGACGAGATGGACGACTAAACGGCCACGATTAGGGGGGGTAGCTAGCCAGGCTACTAGGTTTTTATTTCATTTTTAGTCTACATTTATGTCACGGCCCCCCTGATTCATTGTTCTTTTGGCCTTCGGTTGGCCCCTCGGTATATTATATTCTACGAAATATATATTTTTTGTGTTGGTTTTTATTCTCTGCGGGGAAGTTTGAGTGTCCCCACGTAATTGAAACGTGTTTGGTAGCTTTAGCGTTGGTAAGCATGTTGCGGCTAGACCTGCAGGCATGATTAGGGCGTGGTCATTATGCCACAGTTTTGAGAGCTACCACCACTGATTTTGCGGGACCCTGGAATGTACAGGAGTGGGTCCAACTTGTGTGTGATCGTGAGTGGCAGTTTGACTTTGAACATTACAGCTATCACGGCAATTTTTCTTTTGTGTGACCATTCTGGTGTGTGTTGGACGTTTTGCATGCGGCAGCCGTTTTAGTGTTTCTGGTTTTGGAATTGTAACCATTTTCTTATTTTTATCGGTGCCGTTTGATTGTGTTCACATTTACAGATGATCAGTTGGTGAACTTTTAGAGCGTGATGTTGACGTTGTTTCTTTTGGTTAACTGTGGGCCAAGTAGTTGGTTCGAATATTTGCCAGTGCGATATTCGGGGAAGGAATTTATGTTGCGCTTACATCAAGTGTCAACGCAACAGTCTTGGTGGGGAGGAGTTAAGTATTTAGGAGTCCTGCTTATTAATTAACGTGTTTGCTTTTGGTTAGGAAAGTTTATCTCTCCTGAGTTGCGTCGGCATTGTGTTTTTTTAGCTTTCTACGTTTGGGTCGGCGGGGCCAGAGCGGCCGCGACGCGGGAGCGGTCCCCCCGCGGTCGTTAAGAAGCGTCTCGGGTTTCGGGGGTCTGCTCGGACCGGGACCGAAAGAGCCCGCGCTGGAAGATGCTTGTGGCTTATAGCCGAATGTGCGTGTATGCAGAGGGTTTTGCCGCTTTGTATAAAATTGTCGCTTTTTGCCCGATGCAATAACTTAGCGGTTGGCGCCAGTCAGGCTGGGAAAATTGCAGAGAACAACTCTACAAGGAATTTAGGTTTGACCGTTAGGGCGCCAGGATGACAGCTCGCCGACCATTGGAGAACAGTGTACCACGTGTGAGTGGCGGAATTCGAAGAGATTGGTCGGTTCCTGAGGGGAAAGGAGGCCCCTACGGGCCTACAAAAAGAGCGCGGAGAGGATTTTGAGGGATTCGGACTTTGGATTTGATGGAGAGAAATTGGGGACGGGGGTCGAGACTTTAGACGAGGCAGGATGGTTTCCCAAGTTGGGACTTGTAACTAGAGTGTAAATAAATGCACATAGTTCTCTACAAGCAGTGAGTCGACCCGTCACTCAGCGACGTTCGTGCCACCACGCTCCAGAACATCGAAGCGGAACCTGCCTCCCACACCACCGGGAGGACTTTAACTGGCTCCCTCTTGTCTTCCTCGGAGCGTGGCTTATAATATTTTCCGCGGTAATCGCCGCGCGCTCCTGGAAACTTACGTTCTGGGGTATCGTCTTTCTGGCTACTCCGGCGTGCCACAAACTCTTCGGCCAGCTCGGCAGCCTTTTGAGTTGTGTCAGGATTTTTATCCTGAACCCAGTATCGCATTACCTCCGGCATGCCCTTGTACAGTTGTTCGAGCCCGAAGCACTCGACAATGCCGTCGCGGTTACCGTAGACCTCCGCACTTTTAAGCCATTCCACCAAGTTCGACCTAAGATTGTAAGCGAACTCAATGTATGACTCTTCGGATATTTTTTTCTGGCACCCCGAAAACGCTGCCGGAAAGCCTCCGTCGACAAGCGATACTTTTTCTGAAGGCCGAGCTTGACCGCGTCATAGTCTGCTGCCTCCTCCGGGCTACGTCTGGCGACAACCTGTGCCGCTTCACGAGGCAACAACGTGAGCAAGAGCTGAGGCCATGTATCACGTGACCACCCGATTCTGTTGCACGTTCTTTCAAAATTTACCAGAAAAAGACCAATATCCTCACCCACCTTGAAGGGCTGCATTAGGTCTTTAATTTTTAAAGCCTTCACTTCGCCGGGGTTCGAGACGCCCCTCACTGCCTGATTCATCTCGAGACGTTTCATTTCCAGTTCCAAGCGCTTCATCTCCACAGCCGCTTCGCGTTCCTCTTTGGCTTTCAGCTCAGCAGCTTCGCGCCTCCGCTCTTCCGCCTCGCGCTCTTCCTTGGCTTTAGCTGCTTCGCGCCTCCGCTCTTCCGCTTCGCGCCTCTCTTTGATCATTTCCCAGCACTCACTCAACTCTTTATCGTCAGCGCCTAGGGCCTGGATTGCCTTCACGAGGAGTGGTTTTCGTTGAATTTTCCTGGCATCGCTCCCCAACTCCTCACACATTAACAGCAAGTCCGGCTTACGCAGCTGCTCGAGATCCATATCGAGTGTGACTTGAACTCGCTCTATGGCTGTCCAGCAAAACCCTGCTCGAGTACAGCCCCACCACCAGTCCTAGACTACCCCGGCTAGAAATCTGGCGTCCCTATGAGCCAAGTCGAGCACTCACCACTCCCCACAGCCGACGTCGCTCAAGTCCATCCCACCGCTGCCACCAGTTGTCGCGGCCGACGTGAGTCCCCAGGATGGACCAGGCTCGGGTGGGGTCCAGATCCGGACGGAGCTCCTGACAGGAATCTCAGCAGGCGACGATGGTTAAAACTCTCCTTTATTTACATGTCAGGGGAGCAAAGAGCTCTGGCTATACAGCAGCAAGCCGCAGCTATGAGCCTTGATCTTGGTGAGCTCCTCGAGTTAGGTGAGCTCAGTGCTTTTAAAGTATTTCGGTTGCCATGCAGTCGGGCGGAAACCAATCGCGGAGGTGCACCAGTTTCGTCAGCCACGCCTTCTCGGAAAGACCCTCTGTCCAAGTTACGTCACACGTCCGCGCACACCACACCGAAGAGGTTGTCTTACTCGATGGCGCCATGCATCAACGCATCAGCCTCTTTTGAAGGCGTCGTCCTTGCAGGTGTCTTGGGGCAGGCAAGGCGAGAGCTTGACGTAATGTTCAGGTCCGAGGTCCGCTGGGTTGACCTTGCCCGGGTATTTCCCTTGGGTTTCAAGAAGAGCAGACATTCGGCCGGCTAAACGCCTCGAAGTCACGTTATTTCGGTGGTGAGTTACGTGACGACGGGCCTCGCCCGTGAGCGAAACATGAGACGACGAACCAAGGCCGCCGACGTCCATCGGCGGGCCGACGTCCATCGGCGGGCCGACGTGCCGATTTCAACAGCCATCCGCGCAGCCGTTGCCGATTGCAACAAGCTGATGCTTGTAGCGTATGCAGAGCGGCGCAAAGACTGGGATGTAAAAGTGGCAGAAATGGCATACGCCACCCGCACCACAATCATCCGGTCCACGGGTTTTACTCCGGTTCAACTTAACTTTGGAAAAGAGCTCCCATCTCCCCTGGGAAATAGCCATCTTTGGACATATCCTGCAAGCATGCAGCGCACTACCACGCAATTCGCAGAAGATCTCCGGAAGCGTGTCACGGAGAACCTACGTGAAGCTTGAGAGAGCCTCGAAAACCTAGTACTGCAGCAGCCAGACCAGTACAACAAGGGGAGGCGAAATCTGCAGTTTAAGTAGGAGATATGGTACTAAGGCGAACTAAGCCGCTGAATAATGCTGCTAGAGGCTTCATGGCCTCCTTACCAAAGAGATGGGAGGGCCCCTACCGTATTAGAAAGACACTCTCTAAGCTGTCCTACGAGTCGGTGCATTGCAATTTGGTGAAGTGTGCGGGTCTATTCATGTCGCCGACGTAAAAGCTTTCTATGAACCGGAGGAGGTAGTGTCGCAGGTTCCACACTCTAAAATAAAAAAAGAGTAAAAAGGTAAAATGTCGCGTTTTCCTCCCTTCTACTGGCGCGCCCCCGAGCGGACAGGAAAAAAAGTGTGGAACGAGTCGTTCTTCTCCTTCTCCAGGCAAACGGGAAAAAGGTACCGCACTCCCGCCTTATCTTCTTTCGGTTTCGTTTTTTGAGCACGTCACGCACGTTGTTTAATAAATGTTGTTGAGTTGATTGAGCTTCAACGGCAGCGAAGGCAGACCGTAATTCCGTCTCCCAGTCCAAACGTGCAGAACATTCCGGTTACATTGACGTTTTTGCCGCTAATTTTGTGAAACAAGCAAACGAAGCCGCCAGAAACATCGAAGTTCCGGAGAAGTGCAGGAGTCAAAGAAAGAATAAAAACACTTAGGGACAAGGACAGACAGCACAGTTCTTTCAACTAGCAACACACATTTACTGGTGTCTCCTTCAATAGTGCTATCTCCTTCCTAACGTTTGAGACTAAAGAGGAAGGAGATAGCACTATTGAAGGAGACACCAGTAAATGTGTGTTGCTAGTTGAAAGAACTGTGCTGTCTGTCCTTGTCCCTAAGTGTTTTTATTCTTTCTTTGACTCCTGTATTTTCACCAACACGCTCTTTCATCTTTGTTTCCGGAGAAGTGCCAGTAGCGCTACGTACCCTGGGCTAAGATGGCCGTCTGCAAATTGCGGAAGTCACGTGGAACCGCGCGGAACAGTGTGTCGACGTTGACGACGTTACGGAAATCGCGGAAACTGCGTACAATACAGGCAGGTTTTGTTGCTGGGTGCCTAGGTGCCTTTTGGGCTGTGTTCGGTTCTGTTTTTCGATGCCGAGTGCCAACCGGCAATCAACGTGGTTCTGTATTTCTGCGTGTCAGCAACATAGCAGCAACATCCAAATATCGCGATGGCAGTGTTGTGCGTTGTGAACAGAAGACTGGAACTATCGCCGATGTGACCGTGTGTTCGCGTATCAGTGGTGTAACAAGATGAGATGACGTAAGCTATCGGGCATTGATGCCGTCGGTTGGGCCATGATCGGAGGGGCGGGTGTCGCAGGTTGACATTCCGATTTACGATAAAGAATTTAGGACCGCTTGAGGGATTACGGTGCAATCGATCGATCTGCGCACAGTCATGTTGCAACGCTGGTCTGAACAGTAACTCCTATCGTACAGTGGGCAATGTGACTGTCGTCTGCGACTTCCTGTTGTTCCCACCCCGTGAGCGATTGCGCTCTGGGGAAAGGACTGAACAGTATGTAAATACGACGGAAAATAGGTATATCTATAGTTTGGCATTTTAGCATTAAGGAACTATGGTAGGTAAAATCGACAAAAAGAAGCTATCCTTTATTTTGTTGTTTAAATAATGTACGGCTCCAGGAGAAATCGCCCTTCAAGTGGCGGGCTAGGATGAGCGCTAGAAGTTTTCGAGTTCACCACGGCGTAGCTCCGTACACTTAACACCTGCCGCAAGTCGCGGCTTTGGCTGCATTCAAGTTGATCGAAAAGCGATTTCTCTGCCCGTGAAGCATTGCTTCCAGCTGAGTGCATACACGTTATACAGAGATTAATTCAAGACCGCAATTTCAGCCAAATAGAAAAACAAACGCTACAGTAGAAACACAGGCTACGACATGCCGTACGGGGAAACAAACTAATGGCTTTGAGCCGCGTTGGAGCGGCTTGATTTATTGGCTTTCAAATAATTACGGCATGATCGCGCGTTTACTTTTTAATAAGAGATTCTTCCCATGAGCCGTTCAAAATACTCTCATAGGTATGACATTGCTGGAAAAAAAATGAATATGCTGGGAATATTTTTACATATACATATACACGGTAAATACGAACGTCATTACAATAGCACACTAACCCGAATACTACTTACGCTCTCTGCGTTCGGTCTCTGCGTGAGTAGTATTCGGGTTAGAGTGCTATTGTAATGATGTTCGTATTTACCGTGTATATTTATGTGCTCCATGTATATGTTCAGCTGATGCTTGTAGTAGGCGTAATGTACCTACGCGTTTGTATAATACAGGTGCCTGGAGGGCCCGAAGTGCGATGGTGGCGTAAGCAAATAAAAATATTTTTTTTTTGTAGAACATGAATTAGGCGGTACCTAGAGCCACCTAGCTAAGCTACTTGCAATTACTCTGCTTGAACCTGCCATCTGGTGGGAAGCAATTTAACCTTCTTTCACGCGTCGCGATAATTCCTTATTGCCGTGGAACCACTGCCACCGCTGCTCGAATTTGCTCTTTTGAGGGCGGTTTTTCGTTTCGCGAATGGTTCACCACTCTTCTGTGATGTGCGGATGACAAAGGAATTGTGACTCGAGGAATAGCTAAGTTAAGACGTAAAGTTCCCGAACTAACTGGGTATCGGTTGTCTCCGTTTAATATTGCAGGGCTGACGACGAGAAGACTGAGCAGCTGCTTTTGAAACGCAAGTTTTTTTTTAACTGCGAGGGAAGCTGGCTTGGGAAATAAATACAGTACGCGGAAAGCCCGTGTTAGGCTTTTATTTGCTGCTCCTCTCGCCCCGTACAATAGGTGTAGAGTTCTCGTGAAGCCTTATTGAGCTCGATTTTCTCGATTAGGGACCGCCATATTGAGATGCAGGCGACGGAGGAACTTTGTTCCCCGGCTTTCAGGACAAAAGTTCCTCCTTTTCTAAAGGAACATAGGTTAAACCAGTGTTTCTCCCCTTATGAAGGACTATCGAGGCCCTTTTTTTTTTAAGAGTGCAGATGCCGACGACCCGGACCACCTCTCAGAAGATTCCAGAACGTCTCTGCCGCGATACAACCTGAGACGGCGGTGAAGACAACGTGTGTTTAATAATGTTTTTTTTTTTTTTTTCAAATAGTTTTTCCGTAGGTCATGGAAATGTATTTAATGACGTTCCACGTTGTGAGTTTAGCCGTATGTTTTCAATTGCCATAGAGCCTACTGGAATTGTAAAGTTAATTAATTCTTTGAAAGTATCATCATCACGTGGAAGCGATAATATTACCTAAACATTTCTAAGACAAACTAAAATGTACTTATCCATTTTTTTTATGGCCAAACGTTTCCAGCAATCTCTTAGTGTGGAACGTTCACAATAGAATGAAAAGCTTTGAAGGTGGTTCCATTGCATAAGTCTGGTAACAAACTTTCTCTATTAAATTATCGACCCATTTTACTAACAATTATTTCCCATAAAATAATGGAGCCCATACTGTACTCTTATATTTTTAATTACCTAGAATCAAAATCGTTTTTCGTTCCTGCTCAAAATGTTTTCCGTCGCTCATTTTCTTGTGAAACGCAGCTGCTTCATTTCACCCATTCTTTGCATGCTATACTCGACAAAAACCATCAGGGGGACTATATTTCACTAATCTTTTCTAAAGCATTCGAAAAGGTTAATCATAAGTTGCTAATGCTTAAACTCTCTTCATTAAACATAGATCCTAATTTGTTAATCTGGCTGGATTGTTTTCTTACAAACCGCTCACAATATGTAACTCTAAATGGCAATAATTCATCCCTGACAGATGTGATGTCG